CAGACAGGTTATACAACTGTGGAAAGTTATCACCCAGTCCTCTCCCAGAAAAATGAAATATCGTAGGAAATATCGAAAAGGCAGAATATTATATTTCTCTGGATGTGAAAAGGAAGAAAAATGTTTTATAAAGAGAGAATAGCTCCCTGTAGCTTCCTGCCTCCACCCACTTTGTCAATGGGCCATTAAGAAGGTCAAGCCAGTCCCTTTACATAATAAAGAGTTCTCCCCTTCAGCTCCAGGGGGATGGGATTAGGCATGATAATATTGGCACTTTACCCAACTCACCACATGGCATCTGAGAACTCAACCAACCCTGGATTCAAAATGCAGCCTAGAGAGTGGCCCCTGCATGGCCCCATGGGAGTCTGACAACCAATCAGAATACAAGCTCAAGATCAAAGGCCAGAGAGGGCATAAAACCAGGGACTCAGCATCTCAGTCCTTCCTTCTCTTTTTCTCCACCAACACTGAAGCATGTGATCACCTTTTCTGTTCAGGACTCAAGCCATGTGATGCTGTCCACCAATAAACCATCTTTCCAAGCAGCCTCCATCTCTCCAGTATCTTTTTCCCCATTTGGAACCGAATCCAGAAGGACATTTCTTTCATCACAACTGCTTTTTCTTTGGCTACTTTTCAAAGTAAAGTGATTGGTGGGGCTATATGATACTCTATGCGGCCTGGTTAAGAAACCCTGTGTACCTGGACTAATAAAAAACACGAAGCATAACAGCAGATGGCGTTTTTCCTACACAGATATTAAGCTGGCTGGAAAAGACTATTTTAGGAGAACAGATAGAAATTGTATCATTAAATCTGTTGAACAGTTGACATGTAATTTTAGAGAACAATATGTACTGAATAGTATTGTGCATTAGTCAGAGGCAACTGAGCACCAGAAACATTCATGGGCTACTCTGCCAGAGGTGTCTTTTCTCATTCCGTGTCTTAATTACTTTGATTTTTATGCTGCCCAACATAACAATGCAGAGTAGTTAGTAACTGCCTTTTCAAGAACACGGAAAGTTACTTACTTAATTTAGGGTGTGTCAAATTTTTCAGCTTTCAATTTCCAAACATTAGGGGTGCTCAAAAGTTGTGACATGCCTTGGGGATTGTAAAGTTACTTTACAATAGTTTAATATAATTTACTTTAATATAATTTAAGGTTAGTAAATAAACATATTCATAAATCAGGTTGATATTAGAGGCAGAAGTGGGTTCAAGATAGAGAAGCAGGAAACAAAACTTTTTTTAATTAGTTAAGTGTTGATTCCGGGGAACTGCCTGGACAAGTTCCTGCACATTTCTTGGCAAGATTTGTTTTTTCCAAATAGTTTGCCATTGCCTTCTTCCGGAGAGAAAGTAACTGGCCCCAGGTCATACAATTAGCTTTGTAGCTGAGGCTGAATTAGAACAGCATCCACCAGCCTGATGCCTTAACCGCTACATCAGACTGGCTCTTATCTTAAATTGAAAAATATGCCCCAAATACAAATTACTAATTTTCATATATTTTGTTCTTTCATCTGACATTATGAGGGTCCCAGTTGAGAATATCAAATGTTTTTGTTAAAGTACAAAATTTCCCAAACACAGAGATTAAAAACAAGGCCAGTAAGTACAGGCCAATTCACATCTTTTCTGCCAATTCACATCTTTCTGGCAAACAAATGCAAAATATATTTACAGTATTATATTAAGTATACATTATATTAAGTGTATTTAATAATATATTATTATATATTATATTAAACTTACAGGCCACTCCAATCACAATTGATTCTATAGCTCTCCCTGGATTTATTGATGGATAGCTTCATTTTTCTTTATATGCATATGCACCAAAGACAAATATCTTGTGTGTCCAATCACACTTGGCTAATAAATAATTCTATCCTATCCTGTCCTGTCCTATCCCATTCTTTCCCACCATTTTTTTTGGTAAACAGTAGGGAAAAACTAAGGCAATGTTAAGAACATTTTTTTTTTAATTTCTGCAAAAGAATCAGGCATGAGCTTGACTCTATTCCATAAAAATTCATAAGGATGAATATGCAAGAAGAGAGAAACAGAAAGAGAGATAAATCTCCCTGGCATTGTTTTCTCTTGGGGAATTATGATCTTTATGGACTTTATCACATTTTCAGATTCATTCATTATTCAGAATAATTCAAAAATGCCCTACGAATAACCCTCAGCCTGCTGTTTAACTGCTTGAAAAGATCTGCAAATATTTTTTGTGAAATGCAATGTGATTTGGTTAAATGTTTAGTTGGATGGTTTTTAATCTTGGCAGTCTTTCCTATTGCAGCACAACTGGAGGACACCAAGATGGAGAAGGCTGGTTGAAAATCCCATGAAAAGATTGTTGGTTATAAAGCAAGGAGCTTAAATCAGCTTTTGAGTCCTTTCTTGGTTTGTGGTACATGCCTGCTTTTCCCAAACTGTTGTTCTTTGGACTGGCTACAGTTCTTATGCTAGCAGGAGATAATGGAAGGTGTTCTTTAACACATCCAGAAGATTCCAAATTGGGGATTATGTAACAGAATTAAGCTGTTTTCAGCTACTGAGTCACAACTGTCTGCTGGGAATAAGAGAATAGCTCCAGAAGAGCTTTTCTGGATCAGGCCAAACTTCAGTCTATTCCTACAGAGAGTAACCATGGCTATGGGATAAGTAAAGCAAGAAAGCAAAAGTGTTCTCTTTTGTTGAACCCCGGCAACTTGTATTCAGAATCATAGGTTAGGTTCACCTATTGTGCTAAGCCATTGTTTATATGATTTCTTGGGGGAGGGGATATAATTAAGTTGGCTTCACAGAAAGCCATAATACATGGTGTTTAAAAATAACAGTGGTTAATTTGATCCAGAAAATAAAATACAATTGAATATAATTTTCTTTTGGGAATAATGGATAGGCAACTAGAAAAAGTAAGGGAAGCTTTAAAGTTTTTAAATATGACAACTGCTGCAAGATACGGTCATTTGGAAATTTTCAACACTACTCATAATGGAGAAATAGTTGATGAAGTTGATGGAACTTGCAAAGATGATGTAATTCTTTGATTAGAGGAAAGAGAGTATAGTATCTACATTTACGCGTGGCTAGGAATCCCCTATTGTCTTTTTTTTTTTGCATGAAATAGAAAAAAATGCACTTATGACTTATGGTTTTGATAAGAAAAACATTGGATAATAGAAAAAGTATGGTTTTTTTTTCAATTATAAAATAAGAGATAACTTTCTAATCATGCTTGTGCAGAGAAAACTAGAAGCTTTCTTTTTTATTTATTTTCATTTTTCTGTACTTTTGTTCTTTCTTTCTTTCTTTCTTTCTTTCTTTTCTTTATTCTGTATTAGTTTCTGTTAGTTTTTATGCTCTTTTGAAAACTTATACACACACACACACACACACACACACACAGGAACAAACTTTGACAAAGTCCTAAGCCAAAATATTATGGTTTATCACTGCAAGCAAGATCATTCTATGACTCAAATTGGACATTCAAGCTACTCATTATGAAGAATAGTATATGAAGATCTCTATTCATCTGATTTTAAAAAAATAAGAAACAAAACAGTCATTGAAATTTGCCCATTATCATGNGATTAACCCTCTGCCCCCTGATCTCTCCACCCCCAACTAAGTGATAATTTCCAATCCAGCTGAAAAGAAATAATTGTGACTAAACCGCCTCTATGACCTATTTGTGTCTCTTCTTAATATGGGTTATGAGCAGTCCAAAACGATCATTAAACAGTGCATAACAATGCCAGTCTAACTTAACTAGGACCCCAAACTTAATTAGGTATCTTCCCTCCCCCATGGCAAACCGAAGGGCCTTTTATCTTTTTTCACGATGTCATTGTTCTTCCTCAACCATGCATGAGGCACAATGCAGAACGGCTATTCTCAGAATGGTAATACCATTGCAATTCTGGCCATAGGGGAACACTAGCATGTTCTCCAGTGCTCACATTAAAAAAGTACATCAACTTCATCCTCAACAAGTATCCAGGGTACATGTGACAATTGTATATTTCTCTGCTACTTTCAGGTATCAACTGTGCCACAACATAACAATGTTGCCAGTATACAACAGTACACAAAATCTGCTGGTTGATGACTTCTTAGCCTCATCTAGAGGTACAAGCCCCTAGTCTGCTACCACAATAAATTGTACAATCTAACAGTGCACTCTCTTTAATTTATCCTATTTCCAGTCAACATTGTATATTTTGTAACTTTTATGTAACTATTTATGTCTCCCTATCCTGTGCCTTTTAATACCTTTTACACACCTATGTCTTCTTTTATTGACTGTATTCCTTCCTAGGGCCTATTCTAGTCTGGGTATAATAAGAATTTTTGTTTGTTTTTTCCAAATTGGCATTGTGGGGAGGGCACCGTGGTAGCCAAGGCCCCATAAACTATTAGGAAACGAAGACGATCCAGGTTCAGCTTTATTCATATACAGTATTTTGGTGAGAATGTGTGATGGAGACAGGCCATTTTGAACTCCTAGAATAAATAAAGTAATTGTTAAAAGAAATAAGTGTGGGTTGTTCTCTCTATCTCCCCCCCCCTCTCTCCCTCTCTCTCTCTTCCCTCCTCTGGATTCAATGGGGTTTNGACCGCGATTTTGTCGTCCGCGGTTTTGTGGTGGAACTGGTAAAACGAGGACCCAGATTATTGGGGGGCAATATGCTGACTCTGCAAACTGCTTAGAGAGGGCTGTAAAGCACTGTGAAATGGTATATGTGCTATTGCTATACTACTAAGTGCTATTGCTATTGATTAGTCAACCTAATATTGCCAAGGGGCACATGTTGCCCTTGATCTGCAAGTTCTTACCCTTGAGGTTATTTTTTTGAGTTATAAAAATAGCCAAGTGTGAGGAAAGCTTATGGTCAATTGATTGATTTCACCAATAAAAATAATTATAATAATTATAAATCAAATAAGTATAATTCTTGTGTTTGCCCCTAAAGATACTGTAGTTGTGAAGAATTGCTTTTGCCCTACTCAGTATCAAGGTGAAATCTTCCTGTGGCTTTTCCAGAAGAGGGTGATAACGAATAGTCATGATTAATGTAACAATGAAGTAATTCTAAAATTTTGGGCTTGGGAAGAAAAAGCTATCATAGTGTATTGCTCAGATAACAATCTGTTATATCCGCCAAATAGTGGCAGCACATCTATCACAAATAAATGTTTAATCCTACTTTTAACTATAATGGAGCAGCAGTAATTAAAAAATAAGCATTTTTGCACTTCACATTTTCAGTTGGATGTTATATTTTTCTGAGCTCGGTCAAGCTAAATTCAAGTTTGAAAACTCTCCATTTGCTGTAGAGGAATGGTTGAAATTTGGCTTGCTTGCATGAAGCTTTGAACAGATTTCTTCTATGCAGGTAGTCCTTGACTTCAACTACAATTGGGACCAGAATTTTTGTTGTTAAGCAAGGTGGCTATTAACTGAGTCACGCTCAAGTTTACAACCTTTTTTTACAATGGTTAAGTGAATCACTGCAGTTGTTAAATAAAGCACATGATTGTTTAGCAAATCTGGCTTTCCCACTGACTTTGTCAGAAGCCAGCTGGGAAGGTCACAGGTGGTGATTGCGTGACCTTGGGATGCTGCAACTGTTGTAAATACATGCCTGTTGCCAGGCATCCACATTTTGATCATGTGACTGTAGTCATGTTACAACAGTCATAAATGGGAAGACCAATCATAAGTCACCTTTTTCAGTGCTGTGTCTCTCAGTCATCCAGATCATAGTTGTCTTGAAGGGGCTTTTTCAAAGGCAATTGGACTGCTTTTTCTTTGAGGAAGAAGTTTTGCTTCTCACCCAAGAAACTTAATCAGTTGTGATGGTAGGGGGTGGAGGGGGATGGAAGGATAGGTCCTGACAGAATGCGGGAGGATGTAGTCATCTGAAAAGTTAGCAATTTCAAACAGATGCTAAACAAATAGTTGTAAATTGAGAATTATCTCTCAGTAATTCACTGTACCTGACAATACACTTTCTCTGGCAGATCATGACAATGGGTATGGGTAAATCCAAATGACCCAGTGGCCTTTTGGATTTACCCATTTTTGCAGAATAAGAATATATTTGCCTCCCCCCCCCCCAGTCTTCTACACATATTTTTGAAGTGTTGTTTGATCTTTTGTTTTCCTCTTTTCAGTGTGAAAAAGTCAGAACTGTCACAGCTCAGAGACTTCTCCGGATGTTACAAATATGCGCTGGTCATGTATCAGGGATGTCTTCCCTTTCTTTCAGTTCTTTAATGAAATGCTCCATTGAGGACTCAAGTTATTTGGCATAAACCATCATTGTATTTTCCAGTATTATTATCTATGATTTCTGAGTGGACTGAACATAAATATCACTGTCAGAAATAAATCTTACCTACTATTTTTTCATATGGGATAGACTTTCCATATGGTAAAATAGACTTCAGATGTCTTAAAGGAGCCAAATTAGCCTGGACTTGTCAGGAATTATGATACCTCCTCCTCAAAGCCTAATTCTCAAGTATACAGCAGTCAATCAAAATAGTTGGCATATAAACACAGGTATAATACATGAAAACTATGGTGTTTCCAGAGTGAATTTCTAGAACAAGTTTCTTAATGCCATTTGCATACAGATAAATATCTCCAGTGTCTTCAGGATCTTCATGAAGAAAAGTGTTTCTCACAGATCTGTATATCAAGCAAAATGGAAGCCCTGCAAGTTGCAGCACATAGAACATGTATTATTCTGAGAAGAACCTCAGTGACAGGCTGGGCAAAAAAAAAGCAGATTTTTGATTAATTATTATAGAGCAACTGGCCTTTTGGATAACTAGAGATGCGTATCCAATGCAACTAAACTATATTTCTACTCACAATAACAAAAGGGTTTCCCAAAATTGGAAGATTTAGCATCAAGATAAACTTTCTTTGAAAAGGGCTGCAAATAGGATGTCTTCTTTAAGCCTTTTTTTTGTATGGAAAGCAAGTATTTTTTCAGAAGAGTAGCTTTTCTTTTTAGTATAATTTTTTAATTACACAAAACATTAAAATACACATTCCAAAAAAGAGGAAAGAGAGAATACAAAAGCAAAACAAAATGAAGACTAAAAAAGTGCATACAAATCCAAACATATATATATATTGTGTGTCCCCGCCCCCAGTTGAATGCTGATAAATATATTTCAAAGATAACACTGGCCCCTTGCAAAACAGGCACATAACTTATAAATTTCTACAACATTCTTTTCCGAATCCACTTAGTCTGACATCTATCTACTACATGGAAACATGGTTAACTGGTAAAACCAACAGCCAAAGTAAACTTCAAAGACCTCTGTTAACAGTCTATCAATGTCACTCAGAATGTCCACAATGGCTTCTGATCTACTGTAGATAAAATATCCTTGATTGATTCATAATAATAAGCCTTTCTCTTAAGATATTGAGATCTTTCCTAACAGTGGAATTTTATTCCCCAAAGTCATGAAACTTGTGAATATTTCCACAGCATTTGTATTTTAAACAGTCTAGTGTAAATTGTAACTCAACATTTGTTTTCCAGTTGGATATAGTGAATCCATTTCCCAATCTCCCTCAATCTTGAAAGTCAAATTCATCGGTGATCATTTTTATCAATGTTCCAGGGAAGGCCAATCATGACCTATTGGTGTGTAATGTTCTAGCAGTTTATCGAAAAATATTCCTCCCACAAGGTGGCATCTTTGCTGCTTTAAAAGCTATGACTTTAAAGCAGCAAAGTAAACAGAAGAGCTCATCTGCCACCTTTAGGACAAAAGATGGCCATTGTGTGCCTATAGCTCTTCTAGTCAAATTCTATT